ACCGTGACGAGATCCGAGAGATAATCGCGAGAATCGAACTTGGGCGCCAGATACGATCTTTCGCGTATCAATTTGTGAATCGCACGAAATAAGCGCGAAATAGGCGCAAAAGAAGTTGTCGGAATTCGCCACGGGCTGACTAGCTCGCCTAATGGTAGAGGGGCAGGGCGAGTTGTTCTAACGCGGTAAGTTATGCAAGAGACGACAATTATGGAAACGACAAACACAACTGCAAAGAAACTCTAACATAACAGGTTTATTATAATGATGGGAACCGAAGCTCTCTGGAGAGTAGCAGTGATAAACCACGTATATTCGGCTGCGGTAAAAGAGAAACACGCGGACGAGACTAGGTGTTAGACGCGGGGCGCGAAACCCCGGAATGTACGCCGAAGCCGGCCCGGTATATCGGCCGAAATCTTCTCGCTCGGCGTTAACTACACCTCGCACCGCGGGGTTGACAAATAATTAGTTATGACGTTAATTCGGGTGATAACAATCCGATCCGCTCAACAATCTCAATCAGCTGACGGCGAATGTATCGCCTTCTAGGTCCTAGAAGATCAAATTAAAATTTGTAGACAAATTGATTGTTTTGGTTTTATCTGCTTCCTCTTTTGTTTTTCGATGTTTTGTTACTGTTAGGGGTAGTTCTCGATTAGGACCTTTTTGTTACAAATTCGCCTCAAAGTTATGCTCATTTCTTACTTTTTTGCAATTTTTGCACTTTTTGACAGGGTGTAAAACTTTTGAAAAAATGCGACCGCCATATTGGATCCGCCATTTTGAATTCTTAAAAAAGGACTTCAGATTCGTTATCAACGACCCCAAAAACGCTTAGTTACCTGATCTCGCAACAATCGTAAAAATAATTCGTAAAATAGTCGAACCTACCCCCAAAATAGATAAGGGTGATTTCTACCCTTCAAACGGCTTTCGGGCCGATATAACAATATACGTGTCTAATAGTTTTCCATGTACTACTTGTATGCCAAGTTTCAGGAAAATCGCCGTATGACACTTCCCTAGTATTACTTGTTAGCCATTCCTTTAGTTCTTGCGCGTAATCGTCATAGTCATACGTTGGTTTAGACGGTCTCGTCAGTGACGTAGGTAGGTCCGTTCGGTGCCCCTAAACTAATTCAAAGGGTGTATATCCCGTAGCTGTGTGTGGCGTCGTATTATATGTGAACATCACGAACGGTATCCACTCGTTCCAGTCTGTTTGGTCTTTGTCTATATAGTGTCAAAAATATTCAGCTAATGTTCGGTGCGATCGTCCTAACGCGCCATTACTTTCCGGATGATAGGCGGTTGTCTGTATTTTATTTATTTTTAATAATTTACATGTGTTTTTAAATATTTCACTTAGAAATTTTGTGCCTTGATCCGTTAGAATTTTTTCCGGTATTCCGTGTTCAAGTACAATTTTTGTAACGAATTCCTTACTGACCGTGTTCGCTTCTTGATTTGGAATCGGTATTGCTTTGCTGAATTTCGTTAGGCTGTCTTGAAAAGTTAATAAATATTTATTTCCGTTTGTCGTTATTGTTAACGGTCCTACAATGTCTAACGCACATTTTACGAAAGGTTTAGTAGGTGTTTGAGATCGCGTCGAAACATTAAAAATTACATCAAATCCAATTTCGCATTGCGGCATGGGCTTAGCAAAATTGTTAAAACATCTTCCAGTTCAAAGTCGAAAAATACCAACAGCTCGACTAATATTATTGTCTTTCAGAGTTTTTGTGATAATAACCGAGCCCATGTCGCAAACAAGTATCAAAATAAGTGCGCAAACAACCTCGACGGTTGAGCGCTTGATATGCGGTACCGACACACGCGAGGCCGTGACGTAGGCCGTGACGTATAGGCCGCCTGCCTATCGCCTGCGCGAAATTCGATCTCGCGCCAAAATTCACGCGAAGTTTCGCACTGCGGCCAATTAAACTCGGCGCCCCGTTAGAAATTTGAACATCGCAAAGTGGAGTAATACCATTGGCAGCGATCAACGACAAGGATCGTTGCTCGAAAAATATAAAAGAGCCTGCTTGCAAGGAGCACACACACTCGCTTAGAACGCGCACAGTAACCGCATACGATTCACCGCTTTTTGATAACCGCTACTATTCTTTTGATAACCGCTATTTCTCGTGATACACCACATTTAAGACAACCGCTCGTTTTTGGACAATCTTTCTTTTGGCTTTTTGAATACCGTTGTAATTAGTCGTGCATTGTGATTATTTCTGTGTAAAACTATTGAAAATTCACATTAATTGACATTATCGTTCATTTTATTATTAAAGACACAAAATTAGCAAGTCGTGAGTGCTTTTTTGTGACGTCAAGTCCTTCCGCAAATCCTTGCATTTTGTCGCGGTTACAACCGAGTCGCTCTCGAACATTTTCTGGTCCTTCGAGCCGGATCTTCACCGGCAACCGCACGTTTGTGAGTGATCTTCGGAGAAGTTCAGTGACCTCCTGTAAAACAAAACTCAATTAGTCATCATGAGCATGGACTTGAGCACCTTGATCAGCGCTCAGCGTGACATCCACGGTCGCATGTCCTGGTCCGTGGACAATTTAAAGAAACTGGGCGCAAGCGGCATCAATCTCGGCGCGATCGAAACCAGAATCAAGATCCTGGATCAACTGTGGGCGAAATTCGAGATGCAGCACGAGAGCATCCGGGCCTGCTACAAGGAAAAATACGACAAAAGTGAGTACACCACTGAATTTTTTGACACCGTCGAAAATACTTATGTGCAACAACGTAGTGCGCTCTCCGCATACAAGACCGTTACAAGACTGCTCCGTCAACTTCGACTGCGTCAACCGAGCAGCAAACCAGAGACCATTCGATGAAAACCGCGTTACCTCGTATCAAATTGCCGCAATTTTCGGGCGCGTTTGAGGATTGGCCTTCGTTCCGCGATCTGTTTCTCTCCGTGATCGGCGACAACTCCGCAATGTCAAAAATTGAGCGATTGCACTACCTTCAGTCGTGTCCCCAAGGGCCCGCTGAAAGGTTAATTCGGCCATTGCCAGTCACTGGCAAAAATTATGACCGAGCATGGGCGCTCTTAAAAAAGCATTTTGAAAATAAGGAGCTAATACGCTCTAATTTCGCCGCCTTTACCGCTGTAAATAAAATGAAGGGAGAGACCGCGGAAGAACTCAGCCGAATCTATCACGCCGTAACGACCGCCGTGAACGCGCAGGAGAGCATCGGGCGGCCAATCAACTCACACTGCATGGATCTTTTTAATTTTTTGGTTGTTGAGTTGTTTGATTCTCGCACGCGCTTGGAATGGGAGTCCTCAACCTGCGACTCTTCAAACCCACCGAACTACGACGTGCTGTTGAAGTTCATCACCAAGCGCATGCTCACGTTAATGGCAGCAAAGCAAACGAGCACCGCGAAAACCTCAGGAGACTCATCGCGTTCCGCTAAATCGCACTTCACGAAAGGCGAGTTCAATTCAGCACAGTGCGCGTTATGCAAGAAACGGCATTCGATCATGGTGTGCAGCCAGTTCAAGGCGAAGCCAGCCAACGAGCATCGGTTTTTCATCGAAGCCAATCGACTGTGCTTTAATTGCCTTGGCAATCATCCAGTCGCCAAATGTCAGTCGACCAAGAACTGCTGAACGTGCAAGGCTCGGCATCATTCGATGCTCCATGACGCTTATGTCGTGTCGAAATCCGCTGAAGCAAGTGCACTTTCCGCCGTAAAACCAGCCGATGACCTCAAAGCAATACTTCTCGCGACCGCACGTGCGCTCGTCGCCGACCGTTACGGAGAGCCTCACGCTGTCAGAGTCCTGATCGATCAGGGATCCGAGGTGTCCATTGTCTCGGAATCGTTGGTGCAACGCTTGCATCTGCGACGTTCGCACTCCGCAGTTTAAATCTTTGGGATCGGAGGGTCTCAATCCGGAGCAACACGCGGAAAGGTGACGCTGAGCCTTACTTCGAAGGTCACAGGAGCAACGCTCACCGCCGTCGCCTTTATCTTACCCCGCCTCTTGTCATACCAGGGCTCCACAACAAAATGCCGCATGATCTGGCAACATATCAAGGGACTTCCATTGGCGGATCCGGAGTACCTGGCGAATGATCCAGTTGAGCTGCTTCTCGGGGCTGAAGTCTGCTCCCTCATTTTCCAGGACGGACTGTGCAAGGGAAGACCTCAAGCTCCAATGGCACAGAAGACCACTTTAGGATGGATTCTGTCAGGAGGCTGTGGCGTGGCAGCTCTGCACGGCCACCGCAGCTCACTACAATGCACCGCAGACCACGACTTGATCGAACTGGTGCGCCGCTTCTGGGAGCAAGAAGAAGTTCCTCCTTCTCCCGCCGCTCTCGCACCCAAAGAAGAAAGGTGCGAAGATATTTTCACACGCACGCACAAGCGTGCCGCTGACGGGCGGTACATCGTCAGGCTGCCGTTCTCCGCCACTCCAACCAACCTCACCGAAACCCGCAAGCCAGCCGAGAAACTTCTGTCTGCAATGGAGCGAAAGTGCGGCACGGCGTCCCAGTTCGGTGAACTATACCGCTCGTTCATGCAGGAATACGAGAACCTGCAACACATGAGTCAGGTGAGGATGCCGTCAACCTTCGAGAACTAGGATAAAGGTGCTACCTACCGCATCACGGAGTACTCCGTGAATCAAGTGCTACCACAAAACTCCGCGTAGTATTCAACGGGTCGCAGCGCCTTGGGTCCGGTGAATCGCTGAACTCTCAGCTCCTAGTCGGCGCGAACCTGCTCCCCGCGCTCACGGACGTCATTCTGAGTTGGCGTTGGCACCGATTCGCTGTCATGGCAGACATCGAAAATATGTATCGCCAAATTCTCGTCCATCCGGACGACCAGGACTAACAGCGCGTGCTTTGGCAGCACGAAGTCACCGGTGACATCCGCGAGTATAGATTAAACACCGTGACGTACGGCCTCGCGTGTGCGCCATTTTTGGCAATCAGGACTCTACGCCAGCGCGCCGATGACGAGGAATCCCGTTTTCCTCAAGGAGCAGCCGCGCTACGACGCGACTGCTACGTCGACAACATCGTCACGGAGGCGAATACGCTATCCGACGCGACGTTAGTGCAGTCCGAGCTTCGCGAGCTCTGCATGGCGGGCGGGTTCCCGCTGCGAAAATGGGCCGCGAACCTCGAGGAAATTCTCGAGGGCATTCCGCAGGAGCACCGACTCCTCAAAACACCGCTTGGGAGGACGAGAGTCACTCCACTTTGGGCATTCGATGGCATCCACGCGACGATTACTTCGTATTCGCGATTCAACCACGCACAGTGACTGAATTCATCAAGAGGCGCGTCCTCGCTGAGACCGCGCGCCTGTTTGACCCGTTGGGCTGGCTAGCCCCAGTAGTAATCCGCGCCAAGGTTCTAATTTAGTCCGCTTGGCTGCAAGGGCTGGACTGGGACTCCCCGCTTCCACCTGCAGACACGTTCCAATGGAGATTCCTCCTCGAGGAGCTCCCTCTGCTCGAGCGCGTCCGCATTCCACGCTGGCTCCAAACCGGAGCCGAAAGGTCGAATGTCCAAATCCACGGCTTCGCCGACGCATCAGAGAGAGGCTACGCGGCCGTCCTGTACCTCCGCACCTCGATTGAAGGCGCTACATCGATCCATCTGCTAGCTGCAAAGAGCAAAGTCGCACCAAGACAAGTCTCACTACGCCTTGAACTTTGCGCGGCCTCATTATTAACGAGCCTACTCACCACAAACGCGCGTCACTGAATCTTTCCACAGCTCCAGCATATCTCTGGTCGGACTCCAAAGTAACGCTATATTGGATCAAAGGACACGCCTCGAGGTGGAAGACCTACGTGGCCAACCGCGTCTCTCAAATACAGCTGCTGCTACCGGATGCTCAATGGAGACACGTGCCCGGGCGAGACAATCCAGCCGACTGCGCGTCCCGGGGGATAGCACCCAGCGAGCTCATCCAACATCCATTGTGGTGGACGGATCCTGCCTGGCTCTGCAAGGATGAGACCTCTTGGCCGGACAAGAGCCTAGAGACTCTCAGTGACGAACTACCCGAGACGAAGACCACCACGTTCAACATCGCCGCCGAGATCAAGACCGAGCCCGAACTCCTGCTCCAATTCTCGTCTTTATTGATTCTTCGAAATCACTTTGAGAAACCTCATCAACAGGAATTGCTTCAGGATATACACTTTCTTCATTAAAGCTTAAAGCATCAATGCTTTCGACAAATATCTGTGCATTTATAGCATCTTTAATTAAATTCTCCAAATTAGCTGCAAAAGATTTTTCTTCGTCTGTAATAACTGAATACACATCATATTCAGGAGAATTAGAACTTCTTTGTAATAAAAGAACAATGTTTCTTGGATTCATCGACATTATCTTTACAGGTACTTTAAATCAGTGCTCGGAATTAGTTGCCCTTTTCGGTCGGATTTCTGAAGCGAGTAGTGAGGGTCCCCCCACTACCGTTCGAGCCTCGACAGCCGAGCCGCCGATCGCGCGGGTAACGCTGTGCCTCACACAGGAGCGTCTCTATATCAAAAATATGCTGGGATCGTGATTGTGATTGGTCAATTTCTTAAGGCTTAGGGCTTAAATCACCTATTGTGGACCGGCACTAAGAGATAAGTAGATTACGCCCTCCAGCTGACTCTCCTTTCATTCGAGTCTGGACGTAACAGTGTTAAAAGCTGAGGAGCTCGGTTCTCCTAATTCACACACGCTTGTTATACATTTCATTAATTTGCGTACGGAATGTCCGATTCTCTTTCGTAAGTTGCATTTATCTGTTAAAGGTTTTTTCTCATTCTCTCACATCGTTCTCTCACATAATCCGTTTCACTTCATTTACAGACACATTTTTATACATTATATCGATTGACAGCTAATTTGGATATTAATTTCCGACCAAACAATTGAGGAATTAGTCGTCCTCGGAGTGACATCGATACATAGATATGACACAGTCTGCAAAAATATAATGATGTGAGAGATCTCCGCATTCAATTTTTTAATTTCTTATGGTTTATGTATTTATTACCGTCGATTTTATCTGCAACCATGTTTTTATTTTTATTTAATTTTTTAATTTATTATTTTTAATTAATTTATTATTTATTTGTTTATCACTATTTTATCTGCGACCATGGTTTTATTTCTATTTTTATTTTTTTTTATTATACCGACTATGAACACGCGACCGCTAGCCTTTATTTATTAATTTTTGCGACCATGTTTACTAACCGATTAGGAACACACGACCGTTATGTCATAAACTATTTTTAATCGTTTTGCGCTGAAGATGGCCCGAAAAAGGTGCCGAAACGTCCGGTTTTTGTATACTCTATGATAGAGATTGATATAATAAAACACATGTTGCGCTCCACTTAACGCGCTTGGCTTTGATTGCCTTTATCTTGAATTTTAATTTACGATTACAAGAAATCACTTCTCTTTCTTGCACTATTCCGCATTAATAATTTCTTTTCACTTTATCATTTTTCTTCCTTGTGTTGCACTATTCCGCGATATTCTCATAACCATTAATCACTTTATCACTTTTCTACTTGTCGCATTATATTCCGCGCGTTCTCTTATAAAATATAAACATTATTATCTCACATGTATGCACACACATACACATAGGATTTTGTCTTTCAAGGCCTATTTGCACACTCAAGCGAAAAATGGTACATGAGCGTTGCAAACGCGCCTTGACAAAATCTCTTTGCGTGTGTGCGTACAAGCATACGTACGTGAGGCTAAAACTTATCCTGAAAACTAAATGTGTCACAATTCTGGTATACGATTATCATTTCTCAGGATTGACTGCACCAATCTTATTCAAACTGGTCGCAATCGAAAGCTTGCATCCACATTGTATAAAAAAATTGCCGTTAGATTTTTGATTACGGCTTTTGTTCCTGAGGAATTTTAATCGAAAGTTTATTAGATGGAAAACTCCGGATAAGCTACTTGGTAGCGACGCGGCCCCTGTACATAAGCAAAAAAGCTGTTGACAAGCCGGAAAGAATTTTTTTATATACTTGACATCGCGACGCTATCGCGTCGCTTGATGAGTAATAAAAAAATTTTTATTTTATGAAATAAAAGAGCCTAAATAATTTTTATATACAGGGACGCAATACTTATACATATATGTCAGAATAAGATATAAAATAACTCAAAAAGTACTTAATGAAAAAATACTTTATTATAGTGTTTTGAAAAGCTCTCGAGATAAGCTACAAGAATATGCAATAAAAAGTAGGCAGTTCCATTTAAAAAATTAAAGGTGACCTTGCTTTTTTTATGGAAAAAAAATGTTTGGTCAATTTTTATTATTGCAATTTGTTGCCGGTTAGAAACTGATAAATTTCTGTTTATGACTTTTTTATGTCAGATTATTGTAAGTGCCTTAAAAATCGTGGCGACCGTTACGAGGACCACCCTGTATATTAGGGTGGTCCTTATTTTTCGACTTTCGAATTTTTTCTGCGGCACCCCGCAAAATGTTTCCAATCCACAAAAAAATAATCCCTCCCAAATTTCAGCTCGATCGGACAACGGGAACCCGTGCCGCCGACTCGTTAAACATTTGAATACCCTTGTATTAAACTTTCTA